CTAAAAAATCGTTATTTTCATGGTTTTTCAGCGCTATTTTCACTTATTTTTGTTATTTGACGCTATTTAGACGAATAGGCAAGTTTTCCGAAGCATAAAATTGAAGATTTTCCGCCAAAATAGAAACTTCCCGATAACATCGGAAATGACGTTCTAACATCATTTTAAAATATTTGATATCTAAACCAGAAAATGTTAGATAGAAATAGACTTATTTATAGAACAATCCCCCATTTCTCACCTCAGGGAAAGTCATAAAACAGTTGGGTGCTAATGACTTTGTGAAAGGGAAAAAGTTTTAAACTTAGAAACTTCGAAAGAAGGGATTTGGCCTGTACCATCTGCGGGCTGCATAAACATTGATAGGGGGCCGTATGTGGCCCGCGGGCCGCAGGTTGTGCACCCCTGATAAAAATTATCTTCCATGCTTTCATTTCTGAAAATTATCAATAACATCTCTGAAATTTCAGTTTTCAGTACCAAAAGTGTAATCAACCATAAATCACTAACCAGATATTTAAAAGTTTGGTTTCTTCAGACTTTTTTTTTTTTAATTAGACTTGAATCATTGTAACTAAGTAATTTGAAAATTTGTTGCTATTTATTTTCATAACATATTAATAAAATATTTTAATCTGAAACAGATGGTCGTCTACGAAGAATAGAATATTTACTGCTAGAAGATTTTGCAGTTATTTTTAATGGAAGGGAAAAGATATTAAGAAGTTTTATATTACCAGGACTTCCTCTATTGGATACATACATTATTGGTATTGTAAAAATATATTTAAATATTTTTGATTTTTAGCAGAATTTATCCTATAAATTATTTCTACATCATATAACCAAATAATCTTAGATTTCTTTTGGATTATTTTAAAGTTGAAAATTAATATGCACACACTTGCACATCCATCATATTTCCTCAATTAAATCCCAGGAAGTTTATTTTTTAAATTACATATCTCCTGGCTTATTTGAAAACCCAGAGATTTTTGGTGCTTGGGTTTGTTACCTTGCAACAGGAGATGAATGGGTAAAAATTGAAAGAAATACTTTAATTATTCATACATTTTCTAAACTGTCAAAACCATTTGTGGGTTTGATAGTTTGGGTTGTTGGGTTTCAATATTTATTATTATTTTGACATGTACACTTATTATTCTTTAGGCTTCTTTTGAAAGTAATTTATTTAATAACCTTTAAAAATTTTTATGACACACCAGTTGAAAATACTTGCAATAGACAAATCTGAATATAAAAGGTTATATATTCAGATTTGATATATATATAGGTTTATATATATCAAAAATATTTTAAAATTACTTCAGTTTTTCATCAGACATCAACTAATTTTAGAACAACCAGATAAAAAAATTAGCAATGAGTTGCTAACTTTCATGGCAACATTTGGTGCCACCATCTGTTATGATATTTTGTTAAAAACCTTTTTATATTTTAACTATTATAAAATGGCAAAAAAGCTTAATTTTGAGGGTAGGGTTGGGTTTTATAAAAGAATTATAAATGATAATAATGAATGAAATCATCACTAAATCTGACCCTACTTGAGACACAACTCCCATAAAGCTCCACCCCTAGACCTTTAACCACCAAAATTTAACATTATCAATTAAATATAATTGATATTGCTAAATTAATAATTTGATTTCAAAGTATGCAATAGTTCGAATTACCCAATAACAAGATAATGAGATTTTACTGTATTTTTTTTTAATAATTTAACATATATAGATATTATAATGTCACTAATGCTATTTCAGATATAACATAAACCAAAGTTTATTTATATTCTAATGTTATTACATTACAATCAAATCTTTTGATTCAAAAATGATTTCTGTTTGTCTTTTGTTTAAAATTAAGATTCATAAAATATATTAATAAAAAACCTTTAGATATAAAATAAACAATAAACAAATCTCTGTAAAATTTCAGAAATTTTTGACCAAAAGCACAGGAATTATTGAGCTTCAAACAGGGTTAATGAAATTGCACCCTTCAACACACACTAACATCCATACATACAGAAAAAACCTGAATTTTTTCATTTCTCAATGTTTTAAGGTGTTCTGAACCCAAAAATGTAAAAATCTTGGGTCATTTTTTGACCAATCTCAATATTTTCCCTCTGTTATTTGTAACAGCTGGAAAAGTAAAAGAACTTCTAAAACTGTTGTTCTATTATATAAAATACTCCAGTTTTTTCCAAAATTATTTCTTCCATCAAAGTCTAGATCAGTGGTTCCCAATTAGTTTTTCCTACGTACCACTTCAAGAAAGAGCTCAAATCACTTACCCCTTATAGCAGAAATTCATATTAATCCATACTAATATTATAAATTCGAAGGTAATTCTGTCTGTTTGTCACCTTTTCATGTCTAAACCACTGAACAGGTTTTAATAAAATTTGGTACAGAAATAGCTTACATGCTGGAGATGGACATGGGCTATATTTTACTGTGAGAAAATATCTTGCTCCCATGAGAAAATTCGATATAATGCGGGTGAAGCTGTGGGTAGACAGCTAGTGATAAATAGAATAAGTTTTTTTACATTTATTACCGTTAAAATACAATTCTAATAATAATGAAAATAACATAAGGTTATTTAATTTTAATGTAACAAATGTGCACGATTTTCTTTGCACAACTTTGTAAAATCTGGTTGCTTTTTGGTAAGCTTCAGTCTCAAGTCATCTTCGAGTTGAGGTTGGTGATGATGTTTAGTTTTCATGTTTGTCATGGCTGAAAATCCGCTATCACAGAGGTATGTTGTGCAGAATGGTAGTAAATATTCTATTGTAGCTTTACTGACATGATAATAATGATAATTGTATTGTGTTAATTGTACAATTTTCGTTTCTTGCGTAAGAATTTCATTTAGGTATTGTCACAAATGCATTTTTTTGATGAAATTTCGAGAATATTTTTAGTTATAAATAAACGAATTTGTGCATTCAACATCGTGTTGTAAATTGCTGAATTTTTGATGGTCCACCCATTATTTTTTTGATTGCTTCATCTCATGCATTTAAATTTTAAATCGACCGATTTTAGATTGCCGCGCATACCCCTTCACACAATTTCGCATACCCCAGGAGTACGCATACTACTAATTGGGAACCATTGGTCTAGCTCATTCATTCTTCTGAAAACCTAATGTTTTGAGATGTTCCTCAGATATTTTAAATTCTTTTATCATAAGTTGTGGGGAAGTTATTGAAATTGAGCATTAACTTTACAAGCATCAAAATAATAAATGTGATAAACTCTTGAAATTTGACACAATAATGATGTAAAAACTTAAAAAATATACAGATAAAAGTACTTTTGTCTGTTTATTTTTAAGTTTTTTACATTGTTGTTAGATATATGTATTGTGATATTGTATGTAGTTTTCCAATAGTCAAAGCTTCAATATTGATTTGATAAAAATAATTTCGGTAAACATTGCTTTTATGTTTGTAAAAATTCAGTTAATACACAAGGTGTAGTGAAATTTGAAGCAGTACTTTAGAGATAGATTCTAGGGTCAAAAATAAGCTTAAAATCGTCTATAAACGTTTTTTCAGATTCTCATGAAAGTAGTAACAATAAAGTTGTCAAATGTTTGAAGTAATTTTGTATTTTCTATCCTTTTGTCAATGGATTGAAATACAGTAATACCCCGAACTTACGTGATAGGAGGGACTGAGCGATAACCGCGTAAGTCAAATTCGCGTAAGTCGGGGTATAATTTCTCAATGTGTGTAAAATCCAAGTCGGATGTATGTAAGCTAATAAATGTTCTCGTTAATCTTATCTCGTCTTTTGATTCGTTCATTGTTACAAGAAATCACCACATAGAGTCTCTCGAGTCTCCGTAGATATAACAAACACAGAAATAAATAACACAAAATAAATTGTAGCTATGTGTCAATTCCGCGCGACACGTCCGAACATGTAAGTTGAACGTCCGAACATGTAAGTTGAACAATAGTGTGGAGGGAATGAGTAATCAAGAGTTGCATGGTGCTCAAACAAAAGACGAATCGACGAGATTTGAAAATCGCGTAACTCCGGGTTAGCGTAAGTCGGGGTATCACTGTACATAAATCTTGCCAAAGTAGGTTTTATTATAATAAATGTAAACAAAGTTTTATCTTTAAGATTTTGTAGTATCCATTTATTTTATGGCAGAAAAAAAATTGTTGGAAAGTAAGTTTTTCAATGCATATTTACTTTGAATAACATTTCTTTTTATCAAAATTAAACAGAATAATTTACAAGAACTATTCAAAATGTCCTCCATGGATGCAAACATTGAGAAGCATTGCAAAATATAAGAAGTAAATTCTTATAAAAACAATTGAAGTTCAGTACTTGTATTATGACAAGTTCAATTTCCTTGTATTTAAAAAAAATTTAGCATTTAATTAAAATAAACTTTCAGATTGTACGTGTTGCTGACAGAAATAGAAAACAAACATTGATATCATTTAGGCAGGAGGTTAAAATTGATTTCCAATATGATTTTTTTGGTATGTCAGATCACAGAAAGAAAGCAGAGTTTGAAAAATATTTACAGAGGATTTTAAGCTTACTTTTGACCCTAAAATCTTTCCTTATAATTGTTAAGTTATTTTAAGTTCATTATCAAATTTTAGATATAAGTTATTTAAATGGTATTTATGAATTTCATTCTTATAACAATAAATTTTCCAATATATTTTATATCTAAAGGTTTTTTATTAATATATTTTATGAATCTTAATTTTAAACAAAAGACAAACAGAAATCATTTTTTGAATCAAAAGATTTGATTGTAATGTAATAACATTAGAATATAAATAAACTTTGGTTTATGTTATATCTGAAATAGCATTAGTGACATTATAATATCTGTATATGTTAAATTATTAAAAAGAAATACAGTAAAATCTCATTATCATGTTATTGGGTAATTCAAAGTATTGAATAATTTGAAATCAAGTCTAGTCCCCGGCCAAGAGAATAGGATTTTTTATATATTTTAGTTCAGATAATTCAAAATACATACACAATGAAATTCAAAGTCATTATCAGGTCTGGTGACTTGCAAAATATCCTTTAATTCAAAATCTTCCATCATATTACATGTTTGTAAGGAAAGTTCCCATGCCCAAGTGGCAGTTTCATTTTTTGTTTTACTAATTATACATTGTTGATTTATTAAACATTCATTCAAGGTTGTTTGGACATAATACACATTGCCAATGAAGATAGAATTTTTTATTTTCCCAGCTGTTATATATAACAGAGGGAAAGTACAGCAATTGGTCAAAAATTGAACCCCCAAAATTTTTACATTTTTGGGCTCAGGACACCTTGAAACATTGAGAAATGAAAAAAAATTCAGGGATTTTTTTTCTGTATGTATTGATGTTAGTGTGTGTGGGGGTGCGATTTCATTCATATTGTTTGAAGCTTAATAACTCCTGTGCTTTTGGTGATGATTTTATTCGTTATTAGCATTTACAATTCTTTTATAAAACCCAACCCTACCCTCAAAATTAAACTTTTTGCCATTTTATAATAGTTAATATATAAAAAGTTTTTTAAATAAAATATTACAACAGATGGTGCCACCCGCCATCTTTGATGGAAAAATTAAATGTTGCAGGAAAAGTTGAGCAACTCATTGCTGGTTTGTTTATTTTTATGGAAAGAAATCTGTTTGATATTTAATTATTTTGGACATTTTTGCAAAAATCTATTGTTTCAATAAT